GAAAGTTGAAAGCATATATTATGAAAGGTGGTGGTACTTTTTTCATTTTATTTTTCTAGATTTTTCATTTCCCTTACCCCAGTAAACAAAAAATTAACATCATAAGTTTTTTTTTTTAAACATACTTTGGATGACTGATACTGAAGTTATATAAATACGATGTCTATATGCTAGGTTTTACTTGAGCAGTGTCAATTAATGCCTCTTTTCCCATTATAGTCATTGATAGTGGCCCCTGTGATTCTCAGAACCTTTGGTTTGGATAGTTAATAACAGTATGTTATCTGTTACCACAATATTGTCCTGTTACAAACCACACAAACTTAGTGGCTTAAAGCAACTATTACTTTTTAGGAATCTGAGCTAGTTGAATGGATCTGCTGATTGAGCCAGCTTGGATGCTCTTGGCTGGGCTTGTTTATACTTTTATGGTTAACTAGCAAGTTGGCAGGTGCCTGTTGGTCTAGAATGACCTCAACTGACATGATGTGTATGTTTCACTTGGTCTTCCTCCAGCAGTCCATCTTTGGGCTTGTTCTCATGGTTGATTCAGAGTTTTGAGAGCATAAATGGAAGCATGTAAGCTCAAAACTAGCAAATCATCTTCTTCACACTAGTACACTAGCATATTCTTTTGGTTAAACAAAACCACAAAGCCAGTCCAAAATCGATGGGGTGAGGACTAAAAAGTTATAGAACAAAGGCTATAATAAAAAGTTATTAGACGTGGTGAAGCCATTAATTTGATATGTCAGTGTCGTCAACCAGTCACTTTGTCTTTCCCATAAGTCCCTTCATTTTTCTCTAGTCAACTACACATGCCTTTTCAAAGACACAGTTTTGAAATAATCATCTTTTAAAAGAATATCTATATATTCTGTAATGCTTTATTTTTTATTTTATTTTTTTAAAGATTGTGTTTATTTATTTATTTGACAGAGAGAGAGAAAGTGAGAGAACACAAGCAAGAGGAGTAGCAGAGGGAGAGGGAGAAACAGACTCCCCACTGCTGTGATGTGGGGGCAGATCCCAGGACCTTGAGATCATGACCTGACCTGAAGGTAGATGATTCACTGAATGAGTCACCAAGCACTCCTTTTGTGTTTTATTTTTATATATTCTATAATGCTTTATATTATGTGATCTCTACAATGAACTCACAGTTACCACTTGACAAACTCACTTTATGATATTTATTTCCTTTACATTTTTCTCAAAGATATATTTCCATGGAAGCTTCCAAATTCTCCTAAAATTTTTTATGTTTGATATAGATAGGATTATAGTCATATTTTTGTCTGCATAATCTTGAAATGTGTTCTTCCTTCCTTTATAAATAGGCCTGCTGGGAAATAGCAGATACAACCATCTAACAAAACTTGCCAGGGAGATAATTTGTATTTTATTTATTTTTTTTTAAATTTATATTTTAAATTCAAATGATTATTATAACCCAATAAGCATTCTTTGAAAACTACCATATGCTCTTGATTGCAAATAACAGTTATGAGTATTCAGAAAGGCCACATATTGATTTGCATCTTTTCAATAACAGGTATGGTGTTTTTCTTTTATTATCTGTGTTCTTATCACTCTTCCTCAATATCATTCTTCTCCATTATTTTTTATTGTATAATGTCTCCTGTTCAAAAATGTAAGGTAGTATTTAAGGATCTTGGAATATATTTAGTGTTAAAACTGTCTATTAAATAAAGTGGCCCAGTATAATACATATATATAATATAATCTTCTAGAGCTATAGTATCAATTTGTTGGAAAACTTGTCTACTAGGACAAACTTCTTTCCAAATTACCTTATTCCTTTAAAAATAAATTTCTAATTTGTTGTTTATTATATAGATGCCACTGGGGCCTGTGAAACACTGTCTTTTGTGTATATGGACAGATTATTCCAAAATAAAGACTTTTTATTATTATTAAGAAAATTGGATAATTTTCACAAACTCACATAAATTATTGGCTGAAGCTCAATGGAAAAATTGTTGTTAGTATTCCTACAGTTTATTTTGGGATTAAGGAAACTTCATGAACCCAAACTCTCCACTTTGTTTTTTTTTTTTTTTCCACTTTGAAAAGTACCTTGAATAAAGAGATATATTAATTTTTTAAAATTGACTAATTTTTCTTCATGAAATACAATGTAAACTTTCCCAAAGTAAGTAGAAAGAACAAAATATGAGGCTTCCCTTTATTTCCTTTGAGCTTTGACATATACTATTACTCTAAGACAGTATAATTATTTTCCTTGATTTTAAATATTAATAATTCTTTCTAGATCTGTTGATTCTTTAATGTAAATGCTCCACTAAAGTATTATATAGTCATGAAAAACCCATAAAAAGCATTTATATAAATACACCCAAAAGTAAATATCCATTTTATATGTACCACTAATTCTTTAGTGTAATAAATAGTGGAATGGAAAACATACTTTTTTTTTCCTAATGTGTAAGCGATATACCAAAGAAAATGTCTATATTGTTCATGGATTCTTCTATAAAGAAATCATCTGTTACAAAACTGCACAATACTTTATTAATGTAATTGATTCCATAAACAAGATATTTGTTCTGATAGTCAAGTGAGAGAAAACAGATTTAAACAGGGAAATATTTAAAATCAAAATACATGCTTTACAAATATATGAGCTTTTCTGTAAAGAGTGGCATGGCCCAACACCTTTGAATTAATAATTCTATAAAGATAATCATGATTGTTCTACACAGTCTTAAAAAAAACTATCCATGGTAATATTGAATCAGTTGTTTTCTATTCTATTCCAGATATTTTCTGGGAATGAACAACCTCTTAGATAATTTAAGATCATTAGAAATTCAAATTTCTGCATTGCTGTGTTGTCCAATAATGAGTTTTAACTATTATACTCTAAATTCGAACTCTGGTGTGTTGGTTCTCTGTGTTTCAGCCTGCAGTTTACATTTTCTCCCCTGGTCTTAGATTCTCTATCTGTCTAGGCATCCGTTGCAACAGCATTTTTCTTGGCAACTTTTTGATTTCTTGATACTTAACTTTCCAGCTGAATAACCACCCTTATAAATCCAGCCCCAGTTGCAGAAAAATTAGCAAATAAATTCTTGTTACTGTAAGCCCCCATGTTTTAAGATGGTTTGTTCCACAAAACTACATAACTGATGTATTCCATCTCAAATATTTGAATTCAGTGGGCACAGTCAGTTTTAAAGCTCTTCAGATGATTCTAATGTGGAGTTGGTGTTGAGATTAATAGCCTTAGAAAATTGAGATCACAGAATATTTATCCATAGAAATTCTTAGCAAAAACATTTGAACACATTAACTTTGTAATACTAGAAAAGTGCAGAGCTTAATAAATAATAAATGGCTTTGGGACTGTTTCTGAACATAAAAAGGCTTGCATTAAATATAGATTGTTGAATTTAAAAAAATAGAGTTGTCACTGGTGTGTGAACAATTTTAGAAAATGATTTAATGAGTTTAAAAACAAACTTGATCACACTAAATTGCTTATTTGATGCTTTTAATTAAATTATTAGGTAATAATATTGTTAAAGTACTAGATTTGTTAAAGTATTAGGTATGAGAATCTTTTGTTAAATTTTTAGTGCATTTTGAGAAATAAGTTTGTCATTTCCTAATAAAACATTTTCCTAGAGTCTTAGTCTATCCCAGAGAGCAAGATATAAAGTTGCAGAAAAAAATAAAAAAAGAATTGAAAGGGTTCATCATTATCTTGAGGAATTACTACCAATTGGTACATCTCACAAGTTTATAGATGTATGTCACCTATATCCTACTGAATAAGTATGTGTGTGTGTATTTAAAGTATTTAAATCTATACCTCAGGTGAAACCTTAAGCAGTTGCCATAAATGCTGTCCCCTTTCTCTTAAGATTTATTTATTTTTGAGAGAGAGAGAGAGAGAGAAAGAGAGAGAGCGAGCACACTTGTGGTGGTGAGGAGGGGTAGAGGGAAAGGGAGAGAAATTTTTCAAGCAGACTGTGCTGAGTGAGGAGCCCACAGCAGGGAGGGGCTTGATGGTGGCTCAGCCTAGGATCCTGAGATCATGACCTGAGCTGAGACCAAGAGTCTGATACTTAGACTGCGCTACCCAGGTGCCCCTGTCACCTCCCTTATAGAATAAGTCACAAAATTAGTCTCACTTTATTAACTGAAATGTCTTAGATCTTATGATCTTAGATCATAATCAAAATTCCAAATTTGACTAAAAGTTGAGGCTTTTGCAGTTCCCTAGGAGTCTGACATTGATTCATTCTCCCATAAGTATTTTGCCATAGATTTTTCAGAAGGCTCCTGATCAAAGGAAATCTCTCATCGTTATTCACTATAGAAGAATCAAGAGTTTCTATTCTGTTACTCTTTCTATCCCAGTGACATTATTATTACGTCTATCTGTTATTCCTTCTATCCTAGTGACATTTTATTTTATTTTATTTTTTATATTAAGATTCAATGCCTCACCATGAAGCCCCCTTTGACAGGACTTGAGAAACATAATCTTCCCCTCACATCAGTGACTCACATTGGATCCATGAAAAACATCCATAATACGTGTCAAGAAAATATTTCCAGGTTTGTGCTTGCCCATCCCCCAAACAAATTTACCACTGCTCTTTTGTTCTGTCATAAAAGCTGCTATTTTACACACTAGACCTCCCACATGGGAGGTATGTCAGTCTAGGGTACACATATATACTGGTCAAGAATCCTGTTAAACACCTTGTCCCTAGGATTGAGAGGATCTTCCCTCTCAGGATCAACTTAGTTCTTCAATAACCTTGATGTTGCTAAGGGGTTAAGTGTCATGGAACTGGTTTTCTGTAATCTAAGTATATGACACATATGGTCTAACACCCACTTTTGAGTGTGTGGTATTACTTAATTTTAAAATCCTATTCACAAGAGTGGAGTGGTCCCCAGAGATGCGTGACTGTCTGTTCTGGGGAGCAGCTAACACCACGATGGAGTGGGCCAGGGACTGCTTACACCTGAGATGGACTATGGAACAGCACATCCCAGAGGTGGAAGTCCAAGTCAAACGTAGAAGGACAGCCTCACTGAACAACCAAGAGTGTCAGCTATACCCAAGGCAATCTCAGCAGCAGCAAGTCCCTGTGGTAGAACTGAGACAGGCATTCTTGGCTGAGACACCAAGAGGTGGTTAAAGCAGTATTGGAACATCCAGTCTCCATCTACTGTTTGAAGCTTCTGCCCCAAGCTTGCATTGTTTGTAGGAGAACCTGCATCATACTTTATCTGTAGCCTTCCCTTAGGTCTTAAGGATCCTGAAACCTAACTGTGGATATTGGATTTGGTGGAACAGCAACCATGACTGTGGGAAACAGCAGCCAGACGCTGCAGCACGTTGACTATAGAATGAGATGTATCTTGCAAGATGGCCAAATCTTCATTGGCACCTTTAAAGGCTTTTGACAAGCGTATGAACTTGATTCTCTGTGATTGTGATGAATTCAGGAAGATCAAGCCAAAGAATGCGAAGCAGCCAGAGCGTGAAAAAAAGCGTGTTTTGGGTCTTGTGTTACTACGTGGAGAGAACTTGGCTTCCATGACTGTGGAAGGACCACCCCCCAAAGATACTGGCATTGCTCGAGTACCATTTGCTGGAGTTGCAGGATGTCCTGGGGTTGGCAGGGCAGCTGGCAGAGGAGTTCCAGCTGGTGTTCCAATTCCCCAGGCTCCTGTTGGATTAGCAGGCCCTGTCTGAGGGGTTGGGGGCCATCCCAACAGGTAATGACTCCACAGGGAAGAGGAACTGTAGCAGCTGCTGCAGTTGCTGCTACTGCCAGCATTCCTGGGGCCCCAACTCAATACCCACCAGGACAGGGGACCCCACCTGGGGCGAGCAACACCACCTCCAGGCATTATGGCTCCTCCACGTGGTATAATGGGCCCACCAATTGGGCTTCCCCCTGCTCGAGGGATGCCTAAAGGCATGCACCCTCCAGGAATGAGACCCCCTCCACCAGGATTTAGAGGCCCACCTCCCCCAGGAATGCATCCACCAAGACCCTAGGATACTGTTGATCCTTCTTATGTCAATTTTTTCCCTGCTTTGTGTCTTGTGAAACTGTGTTATTGTTTGTGAGCTTTTGTACCCTCATTGCTGAATCAATATTCGCTAATAAATGCACAAGCAATTAAACTGCAATAAAATAAAATAATAAAATAAAATAAAATAAATAAAATAAAGTAAAATAATAAAATCCTATTCACTAGTGACTTTTTAAATTTTTCCCACAGCGCCCAGGTCTCTTATATCACTGTGGCTCAGTACTGAGTTCTGAGGGGTTTTTTTCTTTGCTTTTAATCACTCCCTAGGTAATCTCATGCAGTCTCCCAGCTGCATGCTGAGAACTCTCAACATCTTATATCCAGTCTGAATAACCAGTCTGAATAGCCAGTCTGAATTCGACTCACATATCCAGATGTGTAGACATAATTTTTGCTTGGATGTCTAATAGACATCAAATATAAATAACCCCAAATGCCTGATTTTGCCCATTCTCTTATGCAACTCCTACAGTCTTTACTTTCTTAATAAAGGGCAATTCAATTCTTCTGAATTCTTGGCCTAATATGTGGAAGTCATCCTTAACTTCTTTCTCAGGTTTCATTACCAACAGTTATAACATCCTATTAGGTCTTCCTTACATACTGTTCTGGATTTGGGCTATTTTTTCTTACCCCCGCTGCTCCCCAATTGTCCAAAGTACCACCATCTTCTAGCAAGTTCTCCTAATACCTTTCCCTGCCAGTTGTTCCCCATCCCCTTTTCCTCTTTTATTTTTCTCTGTAACATATTATCCATTTGTCTCTTGCCACTAGGATGTAAGCCCCATGACAGCAGGGACTTTATTTTGTTCACATATTTCACCTAGCTAATGATGTATGGCACATACTTGGTCCTCAGTAACTACTTGTTGAATGAATAATTGAATCAATTTTAATTATCAATAAATAGTTATTACTTTCTTGGTCATTTTGATTAGCCTTTATATGGAATAGTCTTATTCTTGTAAGACTCTAATAAGCCAGTTCAACTCTGAATAAAACAAATGTATCCGTTATCTTGCATCTATTCAAAGCAAGACAAACCCTAGAATATTCTATTATTTAAATGTCAACCTTACTCAAGAGTATTTCATAATTAGTTTATACTACATAGCATCTAGTAAATGGAATGCTTGAGGATGCTAAAGTGAGGCATGTTCCTTTGCATTTATAATTGGTTTTAATCTGTAGTATTTTCCATAAGCATTAATTTTTTTTTGTTTTATTTTTTGTTCTGAGTCTTTTGTGGGGGGTTTTTTGGTGTATTTTTTTACTTTTTTTTTTTTAAGTTATGTCACTAAGGTATGTAGTATTACCATTATAAGATGTCCTCCTGACTGTTAAATCTTACTGATCAGTCAGTTACCGCGTTTTTCTTATGGAGTTAATAAAGGTCTTAGAAAAACCTTGTGTTTAATGTTTGAGTAGTTCTTTCCTCACAAGCTGGTGGAGGGTGGGGGTCAGAGGATGAAGTAACGAGACTAGGAGAATGATGTGATCCCTTGGGTGGTAGTTCCAATTTCAGATAAATATTTAGAGAAATTCAGAGTAGATTGTGGGTTTATTTCTGAAAAAGAGGCACTAAAAATACAAATGCTTACACTAAACAAAGCAGTGAAACAGCTGTGTATACTGGCTTATTTAGCTGTGCTTACCATAGCACTCTGTGTATCTGCCTACAACACCATTTATCACCGGGTCTGACCCAGCTGCCATGTTTGTGAGGCTCTCCATTATAGACAGGCTCTCATTCCTTTTTTTTTTTTTTTCTCATTCCTTTTTGTATCAGCATTGAAAAGAAGGATTCCTGATCCACAGTCACCACTACATTAAACTTTTCTGACATCAATTAAATTTACTGACACATTCTTATAATGATTTATACTTTTTAAAATTTGCCATGATCTAAAAAATTATCTGAGGATTTTCTTTTGGAATTAACTTGTAAAATATTTTGCTGTTGTAAAAATGAATTATTTTATTTTTTGATTTTTTATGTTTAATTTTTTTTAATAATAGGCATGGGTTACTTTTGTAATTCAAATGTGGGATTAGAATCTAAAAATCATTCTTATTACTTCATTGTCTTAATATTTGTTTTTAAAAGGCATTTCAAAGAAAATATTTACTGAGTACCTAGTGTGTGAAGGGTCCTAAGTTAGGTGCTTTAAGAAATATGAGAAAAAACCAGAACATGTATGTTATCCCTAGGAAACATGGTCTGGAACTCTTCTGAAAGATGTTTGTGTGATTGCGTGTGGAGGATGATGACTGGGAGGTGCAGTGGGTGAGAAAAAAGAAATGCTGTTTTCAATGACTTTTTTCATGGTAGAAATAGTGACCCTGTAGTAAGCTTCCATTACACTTCTTATATTATTTGGCGCGTTGATAAATCCTTTGCTATTTATGAAAATAAAATAGAAAAAAAAAACATTATGGCTTCTAAGCAGAAGTATTTAAGCGTTGGATTTGTAGATACCGCTTGTAGGTGTATACCGATCTCTAGAACTGGAAACTTTGCTTAAGGACAATACTTAATAGGCACAATCTGCTTATCCCATCTGTTGTCCATGAGAGGGAAATCCATTACATATAGTAATCAGGATTATCAGGTTAGATGTTGAGAATTTCCAAATGGCTTCCCATAATATCAAAGAATATAAAACAAATCAGGCTGAAAGACAATGTGCTTAATTAGAATTAATGTAGTGGGCAGTCAAGTCTGGGATGTTTTTAAAATGCTATTCTTAATGGGCTATCAAGGATAGTTTGAAATGCATGATAAAAATGGGAAAGATGCCTATGACCCACTGAGTATTGTAAGCAAGGTTGGAATTGAGTAAACAACGTAAATAATTGAAACATTGAACAAAGTCGATGATGTGGAGCCCAGTAATTTGAATTAATAGCAGAAGAAAATAATTTTGGAGGGTGTTGGCATAATTAAAAGATGCCACATAGTTGCATTAGCTAAATTTAGTCTAGATATTTGACTCTGAGGATTTAGAAAAGATGGCAAATCTTACAGATGTCAATAAAGAAGAGGCCAATTAAGCTGATGTTATGGACTGATTAAAAATCATTTAAGAATAAAAGAATTAATTCTTACATCATGCCTGACTTTAAGCTGTCTGCTTATAAAAATGTGCATCATTTTAAACAGCACATCTGCGAAGGTTTTTTGAGAGAGAATTTCTAAATCTATTCAGGAAGTTTATTTACTATGCTTGCTGATATTTCTACTTCTTCAGAAAAGTATCATATCATTGTACCCATACTAGATCAACATGAATTATTTCATCGCATTTTTTAATCTGAAGGTTAAATGTAATTTTTCCTGACCTTTTCAAATATATTTTTCTTCCTTGTCAAATGTCTTAAGGCAACAGGAATCAAAGCACAACAAACAGAACTTTGCTCAAAATTCCACTGAAATACATTGTTGTGTTAATAGAAATTGGGATTTCCACGAATGTGGAAGCTTCTATAGTTTTATTTTTGCTTTTCCCCCCTTTTGGTTTTTGTACTAGTTCTAAAGTTACGTGTGTGTGTGTGTGTGTGTGTGTGTGATATTTACATGTATATATATGTATGTGTATATATGTGTGTAAAAATAATTTTGATATTTAAAAACATTTCTATTGATGAGTTTTTACTTCACTCGTTTTCTTTCAGCCATTTAACTTTTAGAATGAATTTTTGTTTACATTTTTATTAAGCATAAAAATGGGTCAATGACATAATAATATATTATTTTCTATTTTAGTATAAAAGTTAATATATTGTGGGATCACATTTGTCTTTTTGTTTAATATTAAGTTCCATACAGTATGAATTATATATACATATATTGTTCAACTCTATTATTACTTTAAAAATTAACAAAATGCCTTTCAGTGTTTCTAAGCATGTCATATTATTGTCACTTAATTTTGTTTCTCATTAGTTATATTCAATAACATTCAATTATTAGCTATAATTCTTTAAAAAATAAAAGAAAAATATGTAAATGAATGAGATATAACACCTATAAAGTGTGAGTTTGAACACCTACTGCTTATGCCAATGGTAATTGCAGGTTGTGCAACCACTATA